GTAAGGATAAGTTAGACCATTTTTATAAATTGAAAAGAGTGTTTGAAAGAATGTTGGAATTTGGGCTGATTGGAAATATAAAAAAAAGTGAGTTTTACAAAGAGAGTATAAAATATTTAGGTTATTTAATAAGTGACAAAGGCATACTGCCAATCAAAGAAAAAAATGATCCTATAAGTACAATGACCGAACCTAAGAATAAGGATGAATTACATTCTTGGTTGGGTCTTATGAATTATTATTCTAGATTTATAAGAGATTTTTCTAAATTAGCAGCTAATTTATATGATTTACATAGAAGGGGTAATAAAATTTGTTGGGGAATCAATGAAAGAACTGGTTTTTACGAAATTAGAGAAAAATTGTGTAATGCACCAATTCTTGCACATTATGATAGAAATAAGGAATTGTTTATTTCAACGGATGCGTCCAATAAAGGCATGGGTGCAGTCTTATTTCAGGTAGAAGAAGATGGTTTAGAAAGGCCAATTGAGTTTATGTCTAAGGCATGGACTGGAGCTGAAAAAAGATATTCAATTATTGAAAAAGAAGGATTGTCTGTTGTTTTGGCAGTAAAAAAATGGAAAGAATATGTAGTAGGTAGGAGATTTAAAATTTTTTCGGACCATAAACCACTGGTGAGTTTGTTTGGAGTAGATCCTGTTAAGCTTTACAATATGTTTCCAAGATTACAGAAATGGGCTTTTTGTTTAGCCGGTTTTGATTTTGACATTAATTATAGAGGGGTAAGGATCAAATCATTCCTGATGGATTATCAAGGTTAATTAAGGAAGATATCATTTGTTTTGCTAATGTTAATAATGATATGAAGGATGTAAGAATAATTAACAATTTAGAATTGAATAAAGGAGAAACCTTTTTAGATTCAGAATTAATCCAAGTTAAAAAAATTGTGTTGGAAAAAGGTGAAAATGGTACGCTGATTAAAGGTTACAACTTACAAGGCATTCGGTAAGTTGTTGAATATTAAGAATGATTGTATTTTTAAGGGCGAACAAGTTATTATTCCTCAAAGTCAAAGGTTAAGAAAAAAGTTTCTTAGTGTGTTGCATGAGGGACATATTGGGTTGTATAGGATGTTAGTTACTATGGAAAGGTATTTTTGGTGGCCAGGAGTCAATAAAGATATTAAAGAAATGATTTTTAGATGTAATATGTGCATGATCAATGAGCCTAAACTCCCAAAAGTTAAACAAATTATTGGGTACAACCTAAAAAACCCTGGTACCGAGTCTATATTGATTTTTTTGGACCTATTAAAATTTTTTATGGATTAGCAATTATTGATAGGTACTCTCGCTGGTTAGAGATTATTAAGGTGAAAAACATTAATGTGACTACCACCATTATGGTATTAAATAATCTTTTTTCCATTGGGTACCCAGTAGAATTGGTATCAGATAATGGATCAGCTTTTAGGTCTGTTGATTTTAATAACTTTTTAAAAGAAAAGGGAATTCTACATATATATATATATATGGTCAAATAATATGGCTGAAAGAGCTGTACGATCAGCAAAAAATATGATATATAAATTAGGAGGCTGGGATGACATTTTAGAAGATGTGTTGTTAAATTATCGCAACACGAAACATGCGGTTACTAAGTCATCACCTCTTTTAGATTATTCAGAAGGGAGTTAAGATGGAAATGGAGTTTTTTAAAAGACGATGACTGTGATAATAGACCCAATGTAAAAAGAATAAATTTCAGAGAATTAACATTAGGCCACTCTGTCTTTATTAAAGCGGGCTCCAATCAAGAATGGCGTGTGGGGATTGTCGTTGGGAGAATTAGTAACGTCATTTGGGAAATTCAGGTAGATGATAAGTTTCTTTTTGTTCATATTGATCACATTAAAAATTATAGGAATATATTGCATTATATTTTCTTTACTTTTATATTGTTGGTTACAAATATTAAAGCATCATACATATTCCATTTTTCCTAGTTATTATAATTATGATTAATAAGTTACATTGTTAATAATGACAATAATTCCCCCCTTCCCAATTGTGATTGTTTATTATATTCCAAAATAAGGAAATAATGACAATAATTCCCCCTTCCCAATAGTAATTGTTTATTATATTCCAAAATAAGGAAATAATGACAATAATTCCCCTCCCAAATGTAATTGTATATTCCAAAGTAAGGAAATAATGACAATAATTCTCCTCCCAAATGAAATTGTTTATTATATTCCAAAAAAAAGAAAATAATGACAATAATTCCCCTTTCCAATTGTAATTGTTTATTATATTCCAATATTAGGAAATAATGACAATAATTCCCCCTTCCCAATTTTAGTTCCTACTATCCCCATATATATTATTTTTTATATAATTCCTTGTTAATCTTTATGTAAGTATTGGGTATTATTTTAATAATGAAACCATTATTGTAACATTAAATATTAACCCTATCACTCATTTAACATTATAAGAATTACTTCCCGCATGCCAAACGAGTTCTTTCCTTCCTCATTTTTTGTACCATGTTGTGTTTTCAAGACTTAATTTTTTTTATATATTTTTTTTGGAGGTGGTGCATGTTGCATGTTCGCTTAAATTGTTATATTATCTTTTTATTTAATGAAATTAACATGTATATAAATACATCTCAAGGGGATAAAACATATATATATTGATATATATTTTCATTTAGAATACCACTTGTTATCTTTTGTATAACTATATTATTAAATAAAAAGACCACTTGTTTTCTTTTGTATAACTATATTATTAAATAAAAAGACCACATCTTGTTCAATATTCCTCCTTAATTATGCAATACAATCACACACAATTTATTCTATAGTATTTATTCTTGTTCAATATTCCTCCTTAATTATGTAATACAATCACACAATTTATTCTATAGTATTTATTCTTGTTCAATATTCTTCCTTAATTATGCAATAAATCTCACACAATTTATTCTATAGTATTTATTCTTGTTCAATATTTTTAAAATATTTTTTACATAACTTTATTTCCACAAATAAAATATTGGTATAAAAACATGACTATAATTTGTTACATATATATATATATAATTTATTCAATATTGCACTTTAATAATAATAAAATTTCGGTACTGTCATCCCCAAGTCTAGAGCGACGATCAGAAAGTATAAGCTTTGCTATACTAAATAATATTTCAGCACTAGCACTTGAGGGTAACGCAGTATTAAATTTAATAAACACACTTTTTATATGAAAAAAATCATCAAAGATATTTAAATGAGTATTTTTAGATTTAAAAAAAGCATATAGAGGTTCAATAATATATTATTATTATTTCAAAAAAATCATCTATGGAAGGCCGCGGTTTTGATCTAGCTATAGTATTAGTATCATGGTTAGGCATGGCATTTTTTAACGTTACCATCAGCCTATCAAGTTGCCCTTTAGATTCATCAAATTAATGTATGGCCAATTTAACTTGAAACTAGGATGAACGATGCCAGCTATTACATTATCATCATCATACAGATCTAGAAATCTAATTTATATAAAGCGATTGTATTAATTATAAAATTAGAAGAATACCTTTTTAATTTTCAAAATTTAAATTTATCTGAGATTTAAATTCATTTATAAAAAAATATTAAAATAGCATTAAATTATGGTAAATAAAGATTTAAAAAATATAATTATTATATACAAGGTAATTAATAATATATTAATTTTGAATTTTATATTAATATTATAGATTGTGTTGTAAATTAAGCCAATTTAAATTATGGCTAATCAAGCAATAAATCATTCATTTTATATAATTGTATAATAGAAAATAAAAATAGTTTTGTCCTGTTCTCAATGCCTTTTAGCCTAGACTCTACCAGTGGTTGGCAAAATTTTCTTGCATTGAAACCGATATCCAGTAGTAATTTTTTCTTCAAGATTAAAGTATTTTTTGAATTTTGGGAAGGGATAATCTATATTTTTCTCATTTTCCAAAGAAATTTCGCTATCTTCAACAATCTCACACATTTTTAATAACTAGATTTATAATGCTAACTAGATTTATAATGTATATTTTTAAATATAAATGTAAATTTCAAAATTAAATTAAATAAAAGGATTATAATTTTAGATTTAATAAAAAATATATTTTAATAATTTTTAGATGTATTTATTATATAAAATTGAATAAATTTGTAGCGAGCTACCGCTATCGCTATTTTTAAAAAGTAGTCAACTAAAGCTACCGCTACTGAAAAAAGTAGCGCGCTATTTTAACAACACTGCTTATAAGTGAGCCTAAAAACCTGCAAGCAACAAAATTTTTTGGGAAACTCCCATCTAATAGTACCCCACCCCTCTCAATCTTAGCTACCACTATGTCGTTAAAGATCTTCAAATTATCAATAATTGCTACTTCAAGACCGGTTGTCCTGAGTATTACGTGATAGGTGATAATTGTTAAAAAGTCAGATTCGGGTCGATTTTAAAAAGCGGCCCGATTAAGATTATAATCAAAATAACATTATGTAAGTCTATAGATTTTTCACATAGCTGGCAGAAATGCTTGGACATCTATTTGCCAAATCTTGATACTTACATATTATTTTAGCTAAAATCTTACTCAGGTCGCTTTTTGAAAAATCAATTGGGCATTAGCAACACTATATAAAACAGAGAAATGAAAGGTTCCATCAAAAAAAAATCACACCAGATCGGGTAACAAGAATTTAAGGGTTTGACAATGAGAAAGGCCATCTGCATTTTTATGTTGGCCGCAATTACCTGTATGCATAACAAGACGAACCTTACTGGAAGAAGAAAAGGTAGAGTAAAGCCCGCACCTAATTAAATAAAGAGTATGTTAGGAGGGGGTTTGGGTATGTTAAGTTATTTATATTTATACAAAGAACCTATAGAGTATTTATAATTAAATATTTTTTTTAAGATTCATTTGTCTAAAAATCAGATGTTAATTATAATATAAATCATTGATACAGTTTTTAAATTTTACCTGCCGTAATTTAGAGAAGTTAATTCAAAAATTTAATTTTCTTTATATTTTATCTGTCACGTATTTTATGTAAAAACATAGTCTTAAAATATCATTCTTTGTAGCATTTTTATTGATAATTATGTCAAAGAATTCTGAAAACAGCTCACTAACTGGTATACTTATGTTTATTATTTATTATAATTACAAGCAACTATTACCCCTAGTATTTTATAATCTTAATTGAACATTGATTTGATAAAATTTAATTAATAAAAGTTAAATCTGATAATGTTAAAGATTTAAAATATGACTAAATATTTAATATGAAGGTTAAATAACCTAATTATATTTTTAATTTATGTAGTTTCTATTATTTTAATTTTTATATCCTTGAATTTAAAAAAATATGTTGAAAGACTCTGTATGTCTTTAAATCCAATTATATCCTTTAAATTAATTTCTCTAACCTTTCATTTAAATTAATATCACAATGAATATTTTAATTCTATTCTGGTTCTTAGTTTAAATTATTAAAAGCTTTTTTTTCATATTCTTTTTTGTATTAAATATATAATGTTCATTCTGGATTAGAAATTCATATCAGTTTTTTTTGTTTCACTCTGGCTATTTTTGTTTTATTTTGATTTTTATGTTTTGGATTTTTTATATTGAAAACTTTATGAATAAAATCAAACAAAGATTTAAAAAAAATAATAAACATGAATAATAAATAAAAAAGTTAACATATTAGAACAAGTTAATGAAATATATTATCTAATAAATATTTTAAATTATGCTAATCATTTAAAATAAATAAATTTTATTTTAAATCATTTTGAATCAGTAAGTATTTGGTTTGTATATCTTCTTTTAAAATTTTCTTATAATGATTTGGTTATTGTTACTATTCAAAAAATTATAACCATTTATATTTTTGTTACATAGTTTGCTTCAATAAGGGTTGAAACTTTGTTTAAAATGTTAAATGATTGTTTTATGTTAATTATAGTATATATACTTTACAAATTTATTTAAGAAAATTAGTTGTATCTATTTTATTTTATAACTAAAGAAAAATTAACCTGCATTTTTTAAAAATGAAACTATATCCATTCTTATTCTACATTGTATAATTATTTAAATTTTATGCATATGAAGATTTAACTAAAATTAATATAAAGCAAATCTAAAAAGTAGAAAATTATAAAAAAAAAATTGGAAAATCAAAATATTGATTAGGGCTGTGCTGAATTTTCACTGGTCTTTTTAGCTCTAATAAATGGTATGTAATTACAAACATTTTCAGCCATTCAATGCAAAATAATAACTAACTGTAAATATAAACTGGACAAAACAAGAAATACTGAAATTTTTCATTTCTCATAGCCAAGGTGATACAGGGCCTATTCAAAAAAGAAAATTTACTGATCAAAAAAATAAATGCCCCATCAAAAAAGAAAAAGTGTTAATCAATAGAGAAAAAAGTCCAGAAGAAGAAATAGCCCCAAAGACTTATCAAAAGTACTGATCAAAGAAGGAAAAGGTCTGTAATAAAAAGAGAAAAAGTGTCAGTTAAAAAAGGAAAAATTCCATACAAAAAAAGGAAAGTCCCCAAGAAATGGAAAAGGCTTAATCAAAAAGGAAATCTCCTTTTCAAAAAAGGAAAACCTTTATTTATATAATTATTTTTTGTTTATTTAAAAATTTTAAATGTCATTAATTTTGATTTTTTCTTTTATTTTTGTTATTTTCCTTTATTTTTCTTTTATTTTTGTTATTTTTCTTTTATTTTTCTAACTTTTTGCTTTTTATGATCTCTATTTAATTTTTGGTCATTCCTAATCTATTTGTACCTTTCTTCAATTCTCTGTTTTTATAGTCATTCTTTTTCCTTTTTTTCACCTTCTTAATCTTACTACCAGGAATATCTTCCAATATAAAATTAATCGCCATCTTTTCCAATTAAAAACAAAATGAATCCTTTTGTTGCCACTTAATTTATTTCTTTTCTTTTCCATAAAGTAAATAAAATATATGGCCAACAACAGATTCATGCATATATGTATTTTTAAATAAAATATATGGCCAACAACAGATTCATGCATATATGTATTTTATAAAATTAGATCACAACATGTCCCCCTAAATAGGTCCAGTATCTGTATATTCCAAAAAAAATGTTATTCTAAAATATAAATGTATTGGTAATAAATACATGATAATTTATATTTAAAAACAATTTTGTTCATATGGCATAATTATAGGTCATTTTATCTGTTTCCTAAAGTATTGTTGAATGTCAGAGTCAGCCTTGTTGTCCTCGATCTTTCTAATACATATGCCTTGTTAGAGTTGACCATCATAGACCAAATATATGATCCGTTGCTTGGTTGACATCCACACCTATGAACCTTAGCTTGATAGAACATATATGATCCTCCTTTTTATTGACATCCACTTCTATGAACTATAGCTTGATTGAAAATCATCCTTCCCAAATATGCCATAAAAATCAAATAAACATAATTGTTCTGATTTTAATCTTAATGTTGTTATTTTTAAAGAACTAAATACACTAGTAAGGTCCTTTATTTGGCACCAATCATCTTCCAAAATGACTTCACATGCTCCTATAATAAAATCATTACAGGAATCTTTCAAACTTAATCGTTCTAGCTTTATACAAATTGAGGACTAACGTGTTGTGCAATCTAATAATGTCTTTGACCTTTTCATTGATTTAATATTCTTACAATTGTGTGAGTTCTTAAATATTTAGCAACATCCCTTGCTTTATCAATGATAGTTTTAAAGTGATTATTTTTTAGGCAATCATTAATAGCCAATTATAGTGTATGGGCTGCACATCTGATGTAATATATATTTGTGGGAAATCTAAGAATAAATATATAATAAAATATTATTACTTACATTAGAAAATAATTTATGATATCAATCTATAAATAAAATGGAAGCCCAGGAAGAAAAATGCGAAGATAAAATAAATGATTCCACGAAAAAAGTTAATAAAATTAAAAAAAATTATATGATATTTCTATTTTTAAAATTTTTTTATTACACCTAGAACCCTTGGACCCTCTACTTTTAAAAAGGGTCCGGGTTCGGGTATAGCCTCAATACGAGGGTTCAGGGTCCGGTTTCGGGTTCACTTCCCTGAAATAAACGACAAATTTATTTAATCAAAGTAAGATATGTGTGTGAAATATATATGATTAACATTCTTTTAAATGCCCGAATAATATGGAATTATAATGACGGACAAACCTTGGAAATATATGGACATCAGAATTTAAATGAAAAATTTATAAATTATTGTATATTATTTTTTAATATAAAGACGCTTGACCGGATAAAGGTGGGCATGTTGTATTCTCATAATGTAAATAATTTCTCTTAACAGATATATTAACTTCGAAAGAGCTATTTTGATTATTATTATTACATTGAAAAAGAAATTTAAAAAAAAGAATCATTCATTGATATTGTAAAAATTGATGTTTAATTTATGTTATATGAATAAAAATAAATAAAAGAAACAGTTAAAATTTAATTAGAGTATCGACATCAGAGGCGATACTCTTTAATTCAAATAAAATATATGATAATTTAATTAAGTAAAATTTCCATAATTCTTTCTGGAGAATTCACATTACAATAGAATGTTGTTTATCCTTTTTATTCGACTTATGAAAGAAATATTAATCGAAAAGTTGAGAAATATTTTTATAACAAAATACCACTTTAGTGTTGTTATACGGTTCGATTTAGGTAGATTATAAACGACATCAAGATTTTAGCCAAAATAATATTATGTAAACCTCGAGATTTAGCACATAAAAGTCAAAACCTTTTTGCCATCTATGAGCAAAATCTCGAGATTTGCATAATATTATTGTGGCTAAAATCTTAATTGGGCCCTTTTTAAAAATCGACCCATTTCACATACTACATCAATTTGCCCAAATAGGGATAGAAAAAGAACAGCGATGTAATGATGAAAAAAGAATACTTTAAGAACTAATTATTTAAATATTTTGATTTATTTGTATTTAGGTGAATTGAATAATTTACTATTCATATTTGCCCCTATTCGAATTGAAAATTCGAGAATACAACACCAACATGTCAAAAGTTTGTTGGATAAAAAGTAGAAATAAATTCACGGAAAACAAAATAATTAATAAAGCAATAAAATAAATGAGGAAGGATGAATAAGGAGAAAAATATTATAAAATACAATGGAGTTACAAATCTTTTTGTTTTTACTCTTATGATTTACTGCTTGTTCAATCAGCCAGTTAATTCAGAAGGGGGTGGGGGACGGATGAAAATAGCCATATTGTATTTTCACATTGTATGATTAAAGAAGAAAAGATAAAGGATGAAATAAGAAAGGCAATAACGGTTCAATAAATATTTAGGAGGCATTGAGAGTTCCCTAAACATGTTATATTTGTCCATGCCAGAAAATTATCGAAATTTAGAATATATGCTCTTCCCTTTATTATACTATAACATATTTAGATATATTAAGAAAAATCGAATTAATTAGATGATATTCAATGAAAAATTATTTTTTAAAATTTGCTGATAAAAACTGAGAAATTAAGTCCACTATTAAGTACAGGATTTGAGAAGTAAAAGATAATCAACGAATTCCGGTAAAATAGTTTGTTACTTTCAATAAACAACCCTGAAAATTATCAATGAAAAAAATATCACATATTATTTTATATTAATTTCAATCATACTGCGGAAACAAATTTTTTTGTAAAAAAATTATACAAATATTTTACATAATTTACGCTTAAAAATATAAATATCACCTGATATTTTAAATTACTTACTCCTGCATAAATATAAAATTCGATTGAAACAGAAAAAAATCAATAATATCTAATTAAAGTCATATGATGTAATTTATTTTTTTATGCCTGCATTTTTTTTTACCACTGAGGAAATAATATTTTTGGATATACTAATAATGCATTTATTATTTCTGGGTCTTACTATCATCAAGGCGACTTATCGCCTTCACAACTTATTTAAGTCACGTGGGGTTGGTTCTTTCTTGACCTGAACGATCTTTTTCTTATAAATGAAATGATAATCTCAAATCGCTGTTTTTTCTAACATTTGTATAAAAAATTTTCGAAAAAAGCTTAAATTATGTTTTATATAAATAAAATATGTTTTGTATTTTTTTTAAGCCCTTGACTAAATTTGTGATTTTGGCTTAAAATGATATGAGAATAAAAAAATCATTGTTTCATGTTTTTTTTTACCTAACACTACAGCATTACAAGGACCTATTCGAACTCGGATTGGTTAAACTCGGAGAGACATTTTCTTCTTACTTGATTGAGTCGAATAGGGTCTAGACTAAAATCTCTGACCTTATCATAAATATATGGAAAAAATGTATCATAAATGTTATTTCATAGAAAAAATATCGAATTTCTTATTTTCCTCAACCTCGTGTAATTTTTCTTCATTCCCTGCAAAATAAATTTTTAAAATTCTTTTTATTTTGGATCACCAGTCCGATCTATTTTGCAATAATTGGACTAGGACCTTAAAAAATGTCGGCTTGGTCGGACCAAAAAATTAAATTTTTATATGATCGGGCCGAACCTGAAATACAAATCCGGCATAGGGCTCATCGGATATTGAAAGGGAAAAATATTAAAGATTGATTCCTAGTTCATCTTTTTTGAATATTAATGAATGGAATGTGTTTTTTAGACCAAAAAATAAGAAATAAATCTTTAGAGTGTAATTTAAAAAGCGAAATAGAAATTTTAAATAAAGAGTGTCTCCAAATGCCTTAATCCTCTATTCAGACTTTAGAACAAAAATCAGAGACCTGCAGTGGTACCATTTGCACGGCCCGGTTCGGATTTTTTTCAAAAAAATTTTTGGTTCAGTTCGGGTTTTATATTTCCAGGCCCGCCAGGATTTTTTTAGAATATATATTTATTTAAAATTTTTATACTAATAATTTTGATTTAAAATATTTGGTTTTAAAATAAACGTCCTGGCCCGGGTATTTAAAATTTTTTTTTTAGGCCCGAGTATATTTAAAAAATTTAATTAAGGCTCGTCCCATGTACCCGGGCCGAGCTTAGGGCCGCGCCTGCAGGTCTCTAACAAAAATAGCAAGGATGTAACCTAAAAGTTTGAAAAGGCTAGTTGATCGATAAACTAATTTTGTTAAAATTAACTGAAAAATAGGAAAGTAATAATATTTAAAAGTTTTCAATATTATATTCCATATCGAGATTTTGACGTTTATAATTCAAATAAAATGGTCAGTCATTAATGTATTTTGGTTAAAATTAAGAAAACTTAGAACCATAAAACATACTCCTTTTATTTGCATAATAATTTTCAAATGATGAAAAATATTTTTTTAATTAAAAATTTTTTTTATTTGGGGTACGTCAATTCTAAAAGCTACGAAATTTTCTCATATTTTGAAGAGTTTTTTAAAAAAAAACATGAATCCTGGTAACGCCAACCGCACGCCTCACTTGAATTCATTTTTGTTTAATCTGTGACGTGACCTATTTTTTTTATATTTGCCTGTTTATTTTAATAATTGATTTTATAATCGATAACATTAAAATGAAATTAGAATTAGATGTAATACTATCCGCCGAAAAAACGGAGGTGGCAAATTCCGAGTTATCACCCTCTCCCTAATCTCTTTAGTCAAAGATATATGGAGGCAAGCAGATCCTACCTTGAGTTTTTAAAAAGCCAGATTCGGGTCGATTTTTAAAAATGACTCGATTAACATTTTAGCCAAAATAATATTATGTAAGCCCTCGAGATTTAGAAAATAGAGGCCCAAGCCTTTCTGACATTTATGAGGAAAATTTTCGGGCTTACATAATATTTTTTGGCTATAATCTTTACCGGAAAGTTTTTAAAAATCGGTCCGAGTCTGGCTTTTTAACAAACCTACTCCTACCCCACCCCTTTCATATAAATACTGGCTATCTTCCTTTTTTGGAAGCCATTTATTATTTTTATATCAACCATACTTTAAAAAATGTTATTTAAAAAAAAGAGTAGAATTTTTTTGAATAAATTAATTGGATTTAATATACTAAATATTCATAATCCTTATTTTAGAAAATTACGGTTTTATTATAGTTCATGAGAGTTTTATTTTTTCTACTCTCTCTTTGTAAAATTGCCGGCGAGTTTTTAAAGTATTTTAGCCAGATGCGAATTGCGGTAAAAAAAATATTGGCAAAAAATATTTTTTAAATTTAGGCAACAGTTCCTACAAATTGAAGTGGTTAGCGTTCTATTACAAATTATTTTTGCTTTAAAAAACTCTAAATAGTTTGTGTTTTTTACGTTTTTTAAAAATGTCACTAAGACGTTTTTTTTAGAAAAACTCAATGCTAAACCCTTCTGCTTAATTTGTAAGCACTGTGTTTTGTGAATGAAACTTGTTTCCTCACTTCTTTCTTTATTCCCCAATTTTTTAAATATTAATTCCTTATACATATTAAAACATTTGATATTTTATTAAGTTTAAAACGTATTAATGTCAAATTCGATAATTTAGAATTATAAAAAACGCTGCATAAATAATATGTAATTATTGGTTTTTACATTGTATATTTTATTTTATTTTGAATCCAGGACATAAATGTAAAGGCCTGAAAAATAGTATACCCGATAATACCCTGGGACAAAGAGACACCGAGCAAAAATACTCCAATTTTTAAATGTTTAAAAAGGGGATTTTTTTAGAAAAATTTATTAATTTATTTTACACAAGTTCAAAATTAAAAAAATCTAATATTTGAAGTGATAAATTAATGATAATCTGGTACAAATTTTAGTAATATGTTCATATTATAAATTTAGTAATCTACTAAACAATGACTATTGATTAAACCATTTTTTTAATATATATTAAACCTACCTCCATAGCCATGTTGAATTCAATAAACATTTATTAAACCCGTTTATAATATATATTAACTCTACCACCATATCTGCTGGATTGCTGTGTTGTTGGCTTGCTTCAGAAAAAGAGGTCCTAATAATGAGTCCCAAGTATAAATTTGGGATATTTCTGAATCATTAATCTAGCATTTAATCCATTACATCACTAGGATGCTTTACAATATATATTGAATTAATCCATTACATCACTAGGATGCTTTACAATATATATTGAAAATTGAGTTTGTTTTGAAAATTTAACTACTTAATTTTAACCCTTTAAAAAATATATATTAACCTTACCCTGTGTCCTTGTCTGCTTGCTGCCATCTCTCTAACCCTCCTCTAACTGCTCAAAAGGATTCCTGAGTGTCCCGCCTGAAATGGAATGCATAAACATTGAGATAATTAAGATGCATTAACCTAGGATGCTTCAAAATATTATTTAAAATTTTAATGACCAATTTAAAAAAAAATAAATAATATTATTAATCCTATCACAGTATCCCTGCTGGCCTGGCTGGCTATCATTTTTCTAACCATTTTCTAACTACTCGTGCTGACTAGCTTCAGAAAAAGGGGCCCTTTGTTATTCATTTAATATAACAATCACTCGAGTGCTCCGGTAGAAGGTGTTTATTGATGTGGCTAAAAATGCCTAAATTTTGTTTTATTATTAAAATTTAACAATCATTGTTTTAATCACTATTTGTATATGTATGTGATATCAGCTCAATAATTTTTAGCTCACTTTACAATTTAAATTGCATTATGAACATTTTATATAAGTATAAAAAATAGTTTGATACATTTATAGATCAAGTATCTGTATTTAGAACTAATTTTTAGACCATGAATTTGTATTAGACGATGTATCGGTGTCTAAATTTATTTGAACAGTATCTTTTAACAGCTTTGTTAAATAAAATTCTACAACTTTATTTTGGCAGAGGAGAATAAAAAGGCAAACGTTTGGAAATGATTCAATTTTTTCTAGAATCGATAAAAATAAACTCCTTTGTTTGGTAGTAATTTCAAAAGCAAATATTTATATAAAATGTTCTAAAAATTAGGTTAAGTTATTATTGTATTATATATTTATCAAATCAAAATCGAAAATATTCCAAAACATGACTTTTTTTTTGTTTTTCGCAAAATCGTGACATGACTAAGTGAAGTGCCAAAAATTATTTTTTTGCGAAATTCAAATTTCGTGAAAATAATGGATTTTTCGAGGTAGATACTAAAGATCTGTAAAGTAAATTCAAAAAAAGATAATTATACAATTTATGATATGATTCCATTAACAAATACACAATACAGTAGAGATACAAACACAAGATTATTACAGCCTTAATTGACATTGGGGAATGATAAGATATAGATATTAAAAATGTGATGGACAGAAAATTCATACAAAAAGTTTAACCAGCCCTGCCTAATTTTTCGTAAAATTTTTACGGGTCGGGCGGCAATTTAAAAAATTACATTGGGTCGGTCCGGGCAAGTTTTTTAAAAGACTATAACGGGTCGGGCGGACAATTTGTGTAAAAATTTTAGCGCGCCGAGATTTGCTCAAAATATTTCTCTTGATTGAAAACAATTAAAAAATGAATTTATAATCAGGCAATGGAGCCCAAATGGCAAGTAGTCAAGAAATTATTTGCTATATCGGCTTGGAATTTTTTTTAATTGCCGCGGCGTTTAAAAAACTCCTACGGGTAATAGGTTCTTTATTATTTTATCATAACTGGAAATTGGCATGAATCATATTTTGTGTTAAATATACATAAAATTATCCCAGTGATTTTACTGAATATTTAAATTTATTGCTTAAATTAGAGGAAAAAATAAATATTTTCAGTTTGAAAATATTTTTATTTTCATTCCAAAGTTATTTTACCGCCATGCCAAAGGCTGAGCATGGCACAAAACAATACCTTATAAAATTGACAGCGAATTTAAATCCAATAAATGTGTATTTTTTTTCTTCTTTATTTGTGGATATAAATTATATCCATTTTAAACGTATTATATTTTTTCTCTCCGAAAGGTTCATGGGTAACCCTCAATCATATCGGTTCCGTGGGTCTCAATATATGCTATTCCCCTACGGCACCTTTCCAGTCTCCTCTAAAGAATCGGAAAATTCGCCAGCCCATCAAACCTTCGGCCAAAATTTTGCTCCTCAATCTAACTAAGCCCAGGGAACAAGCTCAAGATTCAAAATCTCTTCAAAATTCTAGCCATTCCTTAAATGTCAATTCCTTATCATCGTCGACTTCGTTATTACTAACCGCGAAAGGTGATGAAACGGCATTGTCTCCCATAAAACAAAGCCCGTTATCGGAATGCGCGGATTTATTACAAGATTCTTCCCACATACTTGCACAATCTTTCATGTTTCCTAATGATGGGATTTTAGGTTTATAAAGGGGAGGGAGAGGGGGGCTGAAAGAAGAATTTTTTTTAACAATTAGAAAATTTGTACGAATATCGCTATAGTCGTCCTTATTTATAATCCTTTATTTATATCAGCGATGCACCGATATAATATTAGCATCTATATCTATACTTTTTAGTTTTGCCGATATAAAATAATTCAACCCTCTAAAGATTGATGATTAACTTTTCGATGCAAAAAAAATATTCTTGGCAAAATATATTAAATATTTATATAATTTATTGTAAAAATTGTTCGTTTTTAGGTCGTTTTTATTTTATTGCCCCTTCTCGTGCTTCCTTATTTTTCCAGACTTATTTTTAATTTTTTAAAATGCTTTTAATATGTTTTCGTTCCTCTTTTAGGAAATGGAAATTTGATATTTTTCATCTGAATATCTTTCTAAAAAAAGGGAATTAATCACAATCCGATAAGAAAAGAAAGAAAAACATCACAAATCCTTACAAAAATCCATCATTTTTAATTCAAATAGGGGAAAATCAAGCTATATTTTTACAAAGCTTACTTTGTAAAATATTTTTAGCATTGGAGGTAAAAATAGAGTAGCATCATTAATATTACATTTTTTAAAAATTGATGAATTTAAATAAAATATGTATGGGTTTTCATTCTTTTTTTATACATAAGTATCTATGACATGCATCGATTGTATCGATCTGATAACTGGCGTATCGGTAATGACAAAAGAATTGGATCGGTGTCGATTCATATTCTTTAGTCTGTTATTGTCAAATATGATCAAGTTTTTAATATGAGGAATTTACACCATATTCTATCAAAGTGACTTTAAATTAAAAAAGACTTTAAAATTATACACCAGATATTGATAAAATTTTTTAATTTTTATGTATTTGGTGATAAAAAAAAATGGTATCTTCCCGCCTGTTAGAACTTTTATATCTTTTTTCTCAAGGATAATTTCGTAATTGGTGTCAAGTTAAATATGTACCGACTATTATTTTAGCTTTATTTTTATTTACACTTATTGGAACTACGGTTCCAAAACTAAATATATTCTTTTTTTAAACATATAAGATAATCAACATTCCTATTCCTCTTGCGAACATTTAAATATACCAATCTGCCCCGCGTTTTCTACTTCCACTCAGCAGATTGTCAAAGTAAATAATTGGCATTTTATTTCTTTTATAAATCATTCTTATTGACATTTTATCATATTTTAAATGATATTTTTATCAAAAAAAAGACAAAATTCTCGAACGGCCCCCGCATAAACTCCCATGCCCTCATACAAAGCTTTAACAGTAATTTAAAAGGACTCCGAGCGCGGAAAAAGTTTCCCCATACTCCGCCTAATACACCGACGGTTAAAAGTGAACCCTGTTTTCTAAAACCCGAAGAAACAAGCGTTAAAAAATTTCCAGAGTTCCAAAAGGAAAGCGGGAATTCTGATTTGCAAAATAAGGTTTACCAGCACCAACATAAGGAAGTTGTTTCTGCGGGTGATTCATCGTGGGAAAGCGTGGAAAGGATGCTGAAAGAGGCCGCGAGAGAAAGGATACCTTACGTGGATGGCACGAGATCCCCTTCTGACTGGAGCAGGTTTTTTTATAATCATATTGTATATTTATATATATAGTATTAAATTATGATCATATGATGAATATATTATAATTTAGATCATAGAATTTAAACTTAAATAATAATATTTTTTAAAATTATTTTAACAAAAACTCTTCTTCGAAGAACAGTTTAAATTGAATTTTGTAAAAAAAATCTTCATTTTTTGAAAATATTTAAATCTTAAATGTTAATGTTTTTAAGGCTAATATAACATAAAATCATAAATTCAATATTTTTATTTTGTTGAGCCTCGAATTCGCGCAAACTGTGAGCAGGGTTAAGAAGAAAGACATTTTTTTTTCTTGTGATCAATTCAATTACTAAAATTACAAAAAGAGTAATCTGGTAAATTTATAGAGAGATGGAAAAAAATAAACAAAAATGGAATATTCCCCAAAAGGAATAATTTACTGAATTAACTATTTATAACTTAGCTGCCAAAATTTTTTTAAATTTTAATTGTTTATTTAAAAATAAGAAAAAAAGAGTCCTTGCTTAAAAAATATGAAATAATTTTCATAACATTTTATCTTTTTTGCTCGCTTCTATCTAATTTTTAATACTCTATTGCTTTAGCATATGAAATTCTTATATTTTCTCTAAAAAAATTTCACATCATTTGCAATTACTTTTAATCGTAAATTTAAAATTATGTTAAAATCAACTGTTATGACGAGTATCGTTCACACTTTATTTATTCGAAACTATGCACCGGATATATTTTTTAAAATATTTTAAAAAAATGTAAGTAGACTAGAGCTCAAATATTTATTTTTAGGAAGTACGATCAATATGACACTTAATTTTTTCAAAATAAAAACCTGTTTATTTTTTTAGTCCGATGTACCCCACTAGCCCTTACCCGGAACTGAGGGATTTGAAGGTTTATTTATTAATAAGTTTTTTATGAATATTTGTTTTTAATCAACTATTGCACAAACCTAGTGTAGCATTTCCAAAAAAATCGAACGCGTTAACGTTCACCTTCAAAAAAGTTTTTTTAAAAATTTAATTTAATATTAATAAATACCATATATGTTTTAATACAATATATTAACCATGTTTAGATTTAAAATTTTTTTTATTTTCAAATGATTAAAGATAATAAAATTTCCTAAATTTGAACGAATGTATAAAACGAATGCTTTCGTCAAGATAAAAGGAACGTCGTTCATCATTTTTTTCAAAAATTGAACTTCGCTTTGAACGCATTAATTTACAACATTACACAAATCTTATATTTTCTTACACATTTTACTTGCCTAAAAGATGATATTATTTTATCTTAACCAACAAAAAATTTGATATCGGCTTGTGAATTTTAAGACATGAAACAAGCAATTATTGTAAAATAAATGACCATTTTTATATTTTTGTAGAAATAAGTATAAATTAATTACACTTATTCTTGAAAAGAATAGGATTTATTTTTAAAAAAATAGGATTTTAAAAGGTGCATGCATTAATATATACAACCTTATTCACATTTATAAGAATATATATATTCATACTTTAAAATATCGCAAATTATATAGTTTTTTTAAAAATGGTAGTATAATCAAATTTTTAAGATACTTTATAAAAATGTATAGTTTATTAACATGCTATATTATTTATATTATAGGAAGAATTCAAAGATACTGATTGGATATGGGATTGGTCAAATGGAATATTACCTTTCAGGTTTGATTCGATTCTAATCTTCTTTTTTTAAAATAAATTTCAAAAGATTTTTCAGCCCGGACTTTGAAAAAATATCTTTTACTGCCTGGCCCATCCCTTAATAATTTTTTGTAAAAAAAAGAAAAAAATCATAATTTCCATTATTCAAAGTTATAAAAAAAAATTGAGCATGAATACGCACGAGGTTTTATTTTCCTAAAAACTATATAAAAAAGAATGGAAATTCAAATTATACCATTTTTTTTGTAGAAGTAATTTTATCTTTATAATGAAAAAAAATTTTAACACATAATTTATTATTTTTATATAGGGAAGATTCGATTTACAACCCATATTACAATGAAATAAAAACAAGCTTTAGGAACAGCAAGACCATGAAGACTTTACTCTTTTCTCCTACCCTCTTATCCTGGCTCTTAATTACTAACGCATTTTCTTTGGCAATTGGAACTGGAATAGGGTTATATTTTATATTCTTTAAAAAAAATAAGGAATAAAAGAAAATTTTGTATCATTTTTGTCTTCATTTTTAGGTCATATGTATTTTTATAATATTGAATTTTCTAAAAATATATATATATATAGGTTAGGGGACTTGCAATAAAAATTTAAAATTTTGCGAAATAATATTATTTTCCAAAATTTGTACTATACATTTACCCATATTACATTTTTTTTAAAATAGAATTTACTTAGGTATACAATGGTACAACAGCCATGCTAGCCTCAATTAAAATACAAAAGGAACAAAAGAAACTTCTTCCTAAAATAGACTTAATAAAAATGATTCTTTATAATATTTAAACCTCTTTTTCCTTGGTTAAAAATTTTTTTAAATATATGTACAAAGGAATTATAAATAATCCTACACCATTTATCTAATTCAATGATAACATATTTTTAATTTTTTTCCCCCGATTATATACGAATATGGGTTCGCGTTATTTTCATTATTTAAACTGGTATTTTTTTTCTCTAAAAATATTGGTAATCTAATTATCAATCACACTACATTCTTGGAGTTTAAACTTTGGTTTAAATAGATAGTAAAATATGAACCATTTAAGCAATTTTTACAAAAACAAACCCGAGTCATAACATTAGTTGATATTTATGCTATTTATCTTAATTTATTCATTGAAATTATATTTATTCCCTTCTATTTTTTCATTAATTTTTGGATGATTTGCAGAATGTAATATTTAAAAAATTTATATTATAGTAATTTATACCAATTTATCGTAATATATTTTTATTGTTATGCTTGAATTGATATTTAAAGAATTATTTAAATTTATATAAATATTATAATATTCTATTAAGTTAGTGTTTGCATTGGTCCAGTCGGATCGACTATTCGGGCCAGTCTGGTCTTATCGCGATCCGGTCTGACAACAAGGTCCGGTTTCGGCCCGACCAAAAAGATAAAATTTTACTATGAATTGCTTTTTAATTAATGTCACGTAAAACATGATTATTTATTTCCTATAACACTATAATATCTCATACTCATTCATCGTTTACTTTTTATATTCTTCCGTTTCATTCATTCGTCAAGTAATTTAATTTAGGTGTGATTGTATATATGGGTATTATATTTTTAGAAGTGGAAAATGAAATCATAGTGGATGAGAATATTATTGAATCACCCTCTTCTGGGGGTGAAAGAATAACTATTGATTTAGAAAATTTGGTGGGAAGGAAATCAATATCCAATTCTGGCAAAAATAGCAATGAACTATCTCTCACATCAGGCTACATCAGTAGCATTTGAACGGATCTTTTCTAAAGTTAGTGATAAAATAAAAAAAACAAAATAGAATGAATCCAAAGATGGTTCATATGACACTTGAATCATAAAAAATAGAATAATTTTTAATTTTTTAGAAGATAATTATAATATTTTTAGTTTTATTCTATGACCAAATATCTATAACATTATATATATCAAAAACTAATTAAATATGCAAATTGATTTATATTACATTCAATTTTGGCATTGGTTTAATATTATTTTGAAATATTAGACAGCAATAAATATGATTTGATGATATAATTTAAATATTGCTAATTTAACACATTTTCATTTATAATAAAATTTAATGCAAAATTAAAATTTTATAACTATCAAAAAAAAATATTATATAGATGGGATCGGACCGACTTAACATCGGTCTAGTCTCTTTTAGAAAAAAGGACCGGACGGGACCGTTGCAAACACTATATTAGGTTTACGATGTTTGATGAATAAATGGAAATTTTTATTTCGATTAATTATAGTTTAATAAAACTGTAAGGAACGAAAGATTTATTTATATCTCTTATCACATTCTTCTTAACCACAATCGAATATATACTATTATTACATATATATAAATAAAAGAAATATAAATGTCAAAATTCATATAAAAAAATGTACAAATTGTTTATAAAATTTAAATAGGCAAAAACTTTTTTTTAAAAAAAAATTTTAAATGTATATTACAAAAAAAATCGTTGGCATTTAAAATAATCAACTAAAACTATAAGCCATGTAAGGTAATTTAAATTATAAAATATATATATGGTAGCTTATAAATTAGCTGGAATCTTGAAATATAAAATTCATGCTAAAAACTATAAGCCATGTAAGGTAATTTAAATTATAAACATATATATGGTAGCTTATAAATTAGGAAATCTTGAAATATAAAATTCATGCTAAAAGCGTTGGAATTTTTAACAATATTGCTATATAATATGCTTAAAAAGTCATATTGTGTGATAAAAGATGATAAAATTATTGTTTTATGGTATTTAAGAATGATAAATATTTGAAAGGTCAATAGCTATGAAAACGATCACCTATCTTAGTAACATTAATTGGGGGAAGGGGGGGGGGGTGAATATAAATTTCGAGCAAATGAAAAAAAAAGAAATCTGGTGTCGAAACAGAGTAGTGAGCGATTTTTGTTTGTTTATAGAAAGGGGGGGATTGGGAAATATTAAGATTTCTTCTGCATGTAATGGGGGAAGGGACACGTTCATTTTCCTTTTAAATAAAATTTTTTGTTTTTACACATAGCACTCGTGGAATAATTTGGCTATACATCTGTAGATCGAAGATTTGAAATGATGGCATTATAATATAGGGGCAGGGAATTATAGTTGATAGCGGAAACGGGATTTCTATTTAGGTTCGGGGATATTTTGTGGTAGTTTCCATTATTACCATTGAATGTGAAATGTTTCTCGGTGGATGAACATATGGACGGTGTGTCCAGAGACACTCCAAGATCTAAATATTCCTGATTTGGTTATAAGTTTTATATTAAACATGATTAGTATATACGTGTTGCTAAATAAGTATAATAATAATGAGTTTAAATTAAGAAGGTTACTTTTATCATTTGACTTAAAAAAGTAAGATTAAATGAGAATAAAGAATTACCACATTTAACGTATTTAGCAAGATTTTTTCTAATTTTTCGCTAATCTTATCAAATAGTGGTCTTTTTTCTGGTTGAGAGTGCCAACAGTGTAGCATCAGAGCGTATCTTTTTAATACACCATTTTTATATAAATTCTTTGATTATATTTATAATTAAATGACTAACTTATATTTTCCCCTATCCCTTTTCCCTGTGCTTTAATTTTATTTTATAAAAAAAAGTATTTTTCTAAAATATTTATATAGTATTTGAGTCTATATTTCAATATCAGAATATTTTAAAAAACAATAAGATTAAGATTAACTTAAATTGTGCTATCCTTTTTAATTATTATCCACGTATTTAATTTTATCTAATATAATAAAATATATTTAAAATATTAAATTTTACATTTCTTTCCCACAATTTTGGGGGCATTTAAGCCTTTGTCCCGATTTTAAAAAGTCGAAGAGCTTTTCAACAGGTATCGATGGATAAGGGGTTCCTCCAAGAGTCATTATTTCCCATAATACTATACCGAATGACCAACTAAGACAAAAATTATGTTATATATAAGAATCTATATATATCATTCCTAGAGACTACTTTCGTTGATTAATGTAATTTTAAGTTAAATGCAATGTTGTAATTTTTTTTCCCAGAATAGTGCTGAAAAGTTAAATTTTATTTATTTATAGACATCATTGGGTTATCTTAGGAAACGACAAATTCTTAAGCATAGTGCAAACAAATTGACAGTTTAAATAATGCATTTCAACGGGTATCTTTCACATATTAAGAAAGTATAATTTCTCAATTATTGCGTTTTTTTAAATTATAGATTTTATTTTGTGTAAATCGAAATTCAAATGCAACACAAAACGGTTAAATGCGTAACCACCATTTTTATATATAATTATTTTAAATTTTTTTACTAAAGCATTCTTTTAAAAAATTTTTCTTACACATCGCTTTTAACGGTATATTTGCGGTAAAATAGGGATTCTGGTGCCATCCATTTGACTGGCAATCTACCGTCCGTATTTTTTTTGTAATAATCTTGGGTAGCTAGATCCCTGGCCAAACCAAAATCGGCTATTTTTATCACATAATCTTGGGTCAGCAAAATGTTTCTGGCCGCCAGATCTCTGTGTATGCACTTAAAAATTTTGTTTTATATATATCTTGATAAACACGCGTCACACGTTTTTATTAAAATGATTATTATTTTGAGCTAATTTTTATGATAGATCTCTTTTCTTAAATTTCAAAATTTAAATGGTAAAAAAATAAATTACTTTTCGAGAGCTCAAATACTCCATCCCCTGGGATATTTGCAGTGAGAAATTGATCAAATCCTTTGCCATCAAGGTATTGGAAGATATCAAATTTCGAAACAAATTTGTTTCTGGTTGATTATTTAACGATGTATCAGATACGTTTTTTGGGGAACTACCATTTAAGTTTTCACGATTAGGTTTGTTTTCATTTGCGAATATTTGCCGATTATGTTGCAGTTGCTTATTGTTTGGAATTTCGTAACCCGAGGCAGGCCTATTCTTTCTTAAAAAATCTCTCAAATTGCCAAAAGATGCCATCTCGACTATCACGTATAAAGGCCCTAACAATAAAAATATTAAATAAAACATGATAAATAAAATACTACATTTTTATCCGCTCTCTTGAAAAAAATATTTCTTGCTTGAGTTTTATTATACTATAAACATTATATAAATATGGCTCGTTTGCATAGTTTGTGAGTAAAATTAATATCGAGTAAAAGCTATAAAGACTTTAAAATAAAATTTATTAATATAATTTTTTTATTACCTTCGGGACTTGAACAACAACCTAGCAGGTTAATGATGTTTTTGTGGTGACCGATTACTTTCATAACTTCTAGTTCTGATATCAGATCAGCTAATTCCGTGTCAGTAGCATTTTCTGAAATTGTATATTTGTATTTATTATTTAGATATTTCGGAAATTTATCTACCTAACATTAAAAAGAAAATAATTTCATTAGCGATTTCAACGAGGGATTCTATTTGTGCCATAAGATTTCCCTCGAAATATGTTCTATCACTTCTATTAGAGTGACTTTAAACATGTATTTTTTTTTCCTTTTTAGATTATTTTCTTTAATTAAATATTCCATTTATGTTAATATATTTAAAATAATATTATTATGAATTGAGTAGTATACCTTTAAGCATCTTTACAGCCACAGTCTTCTGCATTGATAAATTTGATTCATTCGATTGGAAATATCCAATCTTATCGTAATTTGTTTTTTGAACGTCATTCTCGGTCAGCAAAGGATTTTCGTAATATAAAAGTTCAGCTTCTGACACTGATCCAAAGGCACCTTCTCCTACTTTCTTACCTAGCTTTATACTTGAACAAAAAAAATTAATAAAATTGTGCATAGTTTCATTTAAATAAAAATTTTTTATTTTATTATATATTATGTTTTTAAATTTTATAAGTAATTTAAGCTGAATATTTAATTCAGATCAACCACCAAAGTTCTTTATTTTAATTTTATTTGTGACATTTTTGTTGTTGAATTTTATACAATCAAGATTTTTAATCTAATTAATATCGATCAATCAAGGTAGGCTAATTTATATTTTCTAATATTATAATTTATTTTATAAAGAATATATGCCAATAGTAATATTTATTGAATAAATCAAGGTATGTTAATTTATATTATCTAATAATTAATTTTATAAAGTATATATGTAAGTACTTATTTGTATTTTTTCAGATGAAGAGGATATAACTCCGCCCTGGACTCAGTATGAAATATTTTTTATACAAATAAAGAAAATTAAGGGCACTTAGTCTATATTTTGTAAGTGAAAATTGTGCCTTAATTTAATTATTTCAACCTTGATGTCCAGATGAATTCAGATTGAATTCTAAAGATTTTTAAAAAATTTAATGAGGATCGGAAGAAGATTCTTGTGAAGATAATACGTTTTTTGAAAATAGAGATTATTCTTTAAATATTTTAAATAAATTCCTTCAATTAAATTTTTTATTTATTAAATAAAATACAACCCACCCATCCTCTGTTCCAGTTGAACATATATTTAGCCCAACGAAAGCTAAGAGCACCTAGCGATCTTGATTATCTGATCAAAATTTTGTAAATCAATTATTGTTAAAATAAATAAATAAATTATACGCATTCACACTACCTCAAAATATAACCCACTTTTCGGGGTAACTTTTTATATGTACAAAATCGAACCTAAAAGCTTATTTTTAATATTTTTTTATTAAGCTTCAAAATGATTTTTGCAGGGATTCGAACCGAACTCGGAGAAGAAACCCCGGGTTTTTGAAAAAATCAAAATCTGAACCCGAACTGAACCCCGTTTATAAAATTTTTAAAACCCTGAACCGAATCCGGGAATTTTATTTGAACCCGAGTTCAACGGGTTGAGTGTATTGCTTAAAATCATATATTAAGATACTTGTATAATTGTAATTACAAATACAAATATTAATAATTTAATTGAGATTTTATAATATTTTCAAATTTCTAATTAAATGAAGTGTTAATAAATTAAAAAAAAAATTCATTTACGCCATTTTTAATTTTTTAAAATATATTTTAGAAGATTCCTATTGGAGTGTTAATAATTTTAAACAATTAAATTCATTTACGCCATTTATTTTAAATATTTCTAATTCTCAAAGATTATTAATTAGAAGAAAATAAAAGTGAACAAGCCAAAGTAAAAAATTTTATTTGGATATTATTAATTTAAAGAAATATGTCTATATAAAATTTTTTAAAATTGATACATGACTGCTTTGTATTTTAAATATATTTTGCCTATAAATAAAATTAAAAATTTATGTCTAGTTTTTTAATTATGATTTAAATATAGATTTTTTTTGATCAATTCAAAAATTCTCAAACCCGAGCTGAACCCGGAACCAAACCCGGGTTCAAAAATATTTCTCTGAATCGAGCCCACCTATTTTTTTAAACTAAAACCGAGCCCGAACCGAACCCGGGCTAAAATTTTGCCGGGTTCGCATCCCTGGATTTTTGATAAGAAATAAACAATTGGTTATTATATTCCATCCTTAAAAAAATCTTGAAAAAATAAGTCATAACAAATAAATATGTCCCTTTTTTCTGTACATTGAAGGGTTAATATCTAGTATATATTTTGGTACAACAAGAAGAACTTATATTATAATGTATTATTTTGTATATTTTTATTTTTATTATCTAGGAGAAAAAATAAATAAAAAGAATTTATATATAATAATTTGTATTTTTGAAGTAACGAATAACACGTTACCTTTGCGGAACGCGTTCATATTTTGACATGGTGATGACCAGTTAGCGGTTTCTTATTATGTTTATAACACTAGTATTTTATTTTTATATATTTCTCAAAGTTGTGTCTAAAATATAAAAAATTTAATTCACAAATAAATAAGCTATTTTAATTATAAAAATAAAAACATGTCCAAGACATAATTCTAGAAAATCTTATAAATTTCAAAAATTTAACATACTATTTCATTAAAATTTTAAAATTTGCGAAAGTTTTGAAACTTTTTGAATTTTTTAAAAAATATTACAAAGATGTTAATTTATATCTCCTCGCTTACCATGCACGCCTTTCAATTTTATTTTCATTAAAAAAAATTTATAATTTAATATTTATTCACTTCTTTTAAAAACTCTCGTCAGTCGTCAGAATTTTTATTTTTATGGGTGGCATTTAGAAGAGTGGGTAATTTTCAAAAACATAGGATAAAAAATTGAAAACAGTGGGTGGATTGATATTTTTTCAAAAAACTATGGGCGGACTGGCGGGTTAAAAAATTTTGAAACAATGGGCTGTCGGGCGGGCTTGTGAGTTAAAAACCCGCCCTAAACTTATACCTCCGACTGAGTCCTAGATGTTGGTCTGAGTTCCCGACCAAGTGTTTTTTCCATATAATATTTTTTTCCCATTTATTATATTTTTATAGTATATCTGTACCGATTTCTGGATATCTCCCAAAGTGGGTCATATATTGTTTCGTAATCCGTCCATATCTGGTCCTGCCTATGTTTAGATGGTTTATCGTACAGGCTACCACTCCCTTCTGGCGAGATGTCAACCTTATAATTGAGTTTTTCTGGCGATATCAGTTTATCATCAACTCTTGGCTCATCCCCAGAACTCCTTTTATATTTTAAAATTGGTGTTTCGAAATTTATTATTTATTTTAAAGTTATTTAAAAATTTTTTTAAATATATCTAGGGAAGCAAATTATTTTTCTTAATATGTATAATCAAAAAAATCGTTTTCCAATTAATTCTAATTCTTCACCAACACATAATCCATAATAATATTTTATAAAACCTTATAAAGTCATCGATTATAAACCCTTTTGGTCTAACAGCCTATCCTTATTACAAATATGTCCAATATAAAAAAACTTTATTATTCTCATAATGAAAGGATTTGTGAAGGAAAAGAAAGATAAATTACCCCAGAATATTGTTATTAGCATCAGTTCTCAGTTTTTTCTTTAACTTTCTCTCTTTGATATGAGACTTAGGGCTCGTTGAATTTAACAATACATTATGTTTTCTTCCAGAGGAACAAGTGTTACGAACATAGCGAATCCTAATTATCGGGGCTCTGATACCTCCTTCGGTTTCGTTATTTTTATCATCCTGTATGCATCATATATATATAATATATAGCATATAACGCTAGTCGCTTTAAATATCTCAACTATACACAATAGACGGTTCTATATGCATTGTTTTATAGATTCAAAAATTTATTTATTCTTATGATAAATTTAAGTACTAAAATTATACAATTTGCTCTATTTTTGAGGTAAATAGCCTCTATCGAGCTTTAAATATTGTAATGATTTTTCTAGAAAAAAAAATATTTTAAATATATTTTATCGATCTTTCTTTTAATGTAGCAAATTAACTCAAAATGGCATACATAGTAGCGTATATTATAATTCTAAGACTCTATTAAAAGAAATAGTTGGGAAAACTCGAACAAATTATTATTCGATGTGCGATATCTAAGAAAATGTGAGCTGTATTTTTAAAACAATAAATAAACCTGCATTTCAAGCGTGATTTTGCGATGATAATAAAAGGGGTTATCGGAAACCGTGGCTGAACTACTGAAGGGTAGGAACTTATTGAAATGTTTGAATTTCTTTAAGGCCCTAGCCTTTCTGCAAAAGAAGGCTAAAAAAATGATCAATAACACCAATAAAACGACCATAGAGCCTGCTACAATTTTAAAAATCCTGACTTTGAATATCATTTTTGGGCTTTTCATATAAGAGTCATGACTATTTTTGTACAATTCCATGTTAATTTGAGCTAATTGTTGTTGAGATATGGTTCCGTTTATCATCGTTAAGTTGTTGGGAGATAACGCTTTTAAAAAAAATTTCTATTAAACTAATTAATTTCTTATTTCTAATCTTGAATATATCATATAAATTTAATTAGTATAAAAACTTTATTACAAGAAAAATCCCTGGAATTATGAATTTTTCAAAAAGATGGGGAAAAAATAGGGGGAGGGAAAGGATATTCCAAAACCCTTAAATAAATCTTTTTAGTTTCCCTCTTTCCTAAATATCCTAATATCTCATTCTGATCTAAATTTAATTTCTTACAATCTAAAACTTTTAGCCAAGCCGAAGCCTCGCTTGTTCCTATTGAATTAGAAGCGCTACAAAAATATTGGCCGGCATCGTTTCTCGTTACATTAGCTATGATAAGAGTTGTTGGGTCTTTTTGATCCTGAGATGTCTGATTAAATTATATATAATGATTTTAAAAATCATCCCTTAAGAACATCATAATTGAAATGTCCATTTTTAAAGTCGTTATTAATAAATATTTTATCACAGCGTAAGAAAAGGAAATAGGACGCAACAATAGTTATATAAAAAAATAGACAGGCATAACGTAAGGTTCTGCTAATTTATCTGATATAGTGGAAGGGTCCTGAAAGATTAAAGGGCTCCAAAAACTGCTATATATATAATACTTATAGGGGATAGAAGAACGTTAAATTTAGGTTAAATGTGAATTAGTTTTAAAAAATTAAATTTTTGAAGATATACACGTTTAAAAAAAACAGAAGCCTTTAGCTGTAATCTTGATATCTCCCCTCCTGTTTCCTCTGTTGAAGGTTGATGAGGGATTATAAAATCATCGTCAAAATTTAATTTTTTAAAAAAAATCGAATATAAGGATGTTTAAGTTACTTGGACTACGTGGGAATATAGGATTCCTTCATCGTTTGTATCGGACCCATTAACGTGGTAAACTTTCATCCAATGAATGGTTACTTCCATGTCCACAAACAATGGACAATTGAAAATTGCTGTTTGTCCCAAGAAGACGGTCAAATTTTGAGGGTTCCCAGGAATGATCAGGGGTCTATGAGGAAATATTTCTGGGGAAGAAGAGAATTTTAAAATTATTTATGTTTTTGGAGGGGTTAGTATAGTGTGGAATATAAGCTCTAACGATTCTATTCTTTCTTCCTTTTTAAACAGGTTTCAAAGAACTTAAAAATTTTTTAAACATATTAAAGATTAGGTTTATTAAATTAATATAATTTAAGTAACTCAGTTAAATTGGCCATGATATCTATATTTTAATTATTGACCTATGACTTCCAATATGAAAGAGGAACTAATAGATCCGTATTGATTAGATACAACGCACGTATAGTTACCCCTGTCGGACAACATCAAATAATCCAGGATCAAGATAAACTTCTTTTTCTTAAATATATTATTTTTTTCCAATATGGAGAGTAGAGAATTACTATATTGAGTCAAAATTCTACTTTTAAAAAAATTATGAGATATATATCATTCCTTTTTTTATTCGTCATATTTATATTATATATTGGAATTATTATTTTAAAGATTTTAGATATAACTTTAATCCTAGTAGCATCCCAATTAAGTGACTGTCCATCTTTAAGCCACGTTATATTTGGCTTGGGGTTACCTTAAGAAAAATTAGTTGGGTTATAAATAATAAAGTAATTTGTATAATACAATTATTTTAATCAACCTATATTTATTTTAAAATAAATATCCCTTTAAATTATACGGATTTGTAATAAAAGCTAGTTATAATTTTCATAACAATCAGCAATTAACAATTTTGCTAATAACGCTTGAAGCCCTTAAGTTAAGTATCTGATATTTTATTATTTCGAATATTGAACTATGTCCAATTTGTCAAACTTAAGCACAAGGGAGGGGAGGGTTCTTATAGTTAGCAAGGCTAATATCAATATAAAAATTATTACGAACTATATAATAAAATATTTGAATTTAATTGAACAGATAGATTTAAATGATAAAGTGGTTTTTTTCATCTAAAAATAATAAAACACATATTAATTTGATATACATTTTACCTATAGAAGGGCATCTTATAACGGCCCTAGTACCGGCCGCGTTAACTACTTCTTTATGCTTCCATGATTCTCCTTCCATAAACTTTGGTGGACCTTTATATTTAACAAACAAAGAAGAAAAATTATATGTATAGTAAGATTTCATATGGTTGCATAATATATAATTAATGTTTATACATGTTGTTGATTACAACAACATAATATGATTGATAAATATATAATAAATTATTAATTTGGTAGAAATCTGTCTAAGAATCTATTTAAAATAAGAATAAGAAACAATATTTACTAAATATTAGTTAACCTATGCTTTGCATATATGGAAAAGCGATTATCAGAATAAAATATGAATATTATATTGAGTAAAAATTACAAATTCCATTAAATTGGACAGATTCTGAACATGTAAGTGATTTTTTTAGTAAATTCATGTCAGGATGCTGTGTTAGTATTAAATATATTAGTTCATTCGTTGTTGGATCTATGCTGATAACCTATTCTATATCTAGATTTATTGGAATAGGAAATATTTTTTAATATTTTTCCCATAGAATATTAACTGAAACAATTATGCTCTGGCTGGTGATGCGAAATAAATTCTTGACTCAATCATTGATATTTCTCTTTTTAAAAAAATCCAAATTAGGGGATTAATTTATATAATATATTAGGAACTGATTTTTTAAAATTTAAGTAAAACGATATTAGTTCCAAATATAGGAATTTTTGAAATTTATATGTGAAATTTCTATTATATTAGATTTGATAATATAAGAAATATGAAATTCTTAACACAGGAAACAAATTATTTAATATTTCTTAACTTTATTGTAAAAAACCTTACTAAGTTCTTTTATATTCTAATATGTAATTCTTTAATATTATATTTGTAGCATGCTCTGGAATAAATAAATATATTGTTTAAAAAAATAATTACGTGAAATTTGATTAAATCTTTAATCAAATTTCTAATAAAATATATTTTCATGCAAAATCATGCTTCTTGAATGTTTGAATAACGAGAAATCGATAAAAAAAAATGTAATAACAAATGTCATTTGGCATGCGTTCAAATAGCCTAAATTTAATACCTATAAAATTTTCTGCGTTAAAATTATGAATATCTTTAGCAGAAATGAAGAAATTTGGCGTTGTTTGGGTAGCCTCTTCTTCAAAATCACCTTTTTCGAGACATCGAAAATTTACATTTACATTTAAATTTGTAAAAAATATTTAATTTTTGTCAATTCAAATATTCATTTTTACTTTTTTAAATTTATAAACAATATTTAGGCGCTATTATTTGAAGAAGAAAAACATGAACTGCCTTAAACATTATAAAAACTTGCATAAAAATTTAGTTTCCAGGAAATTTTTTTTATGCCTGAAATAATTACTTAAAGGTAGGACGTCTAATGTAAAGTTTCTTTCTATCATGTCCGGTACCCATACTTTTTCTAGACTTTGCGTGGTGCTATGAGCATCGGCTAGAAGCATTTTAACGTAATCGAATTCGGGATCTTTCCTCTTATCCACCCCAATTACTAAGCATCTGTAAACGCCTTCGTCTTTAAGTTTGACCCTCCTTATGACTAATTGATCGTTGAGGGCTGTGAAGGATTTAAACTGAACTCTTGCTGGTCTTTTGCCCCCATTTTGGTTGTCGTTAGAAGATGGACCTTCATTATCTTGAGAAACGGCTGAATGGGCAGAGTTCTGGGTTTCTTCCCTGGGATCGAAAATGAATCCGTCCTTGTACCATATGACAAATATTTCCATGTTACTGATTTTTTCTGATACATCGGTTGATGATATTGAGGCAGATGAAAGATTAGAAATTTTTGCGTCAGATGGAAGACTAAGTTTCTTTAAAGGGTTTACACCGCAGCCGAATTTAACGTAGTCGTCTTCCGGGGATTCGTAATATGTTGCAGGGTCTTCGTTTTCGAATTTAAGCAGATTTTCTAAAAATAGTAATGTTTTTTTTAAAAAAGATTAACATTATTCCTTTTTTAAAAAAGTATTAAGATATTTTATCTTAATTATGGTTGTTTTGTTGAAGACTCGTATGCCTTATCCTATCTAACTTTACTAGTTCAGTTCAGTTCCAATTTTCCAAACTACATTAATTTTGTTTTCTTTCTTTTTAAAATTGATTAAAAAAATACTTTTTGTAAAAACATTAATTAAAACAAATCAATCGCTTTCGAATTCAATTTATATTTCATTTAAGAAAGGAAGACTAAATTTTAAAACTTTATAATGAATTTTTATTGTCAAAAAGATAATTCTAGAGTTTTATAACTTCTTTACTTTTCTCTCGATATTAATTTATAAACTATATTAATATTGTCTATTACGCAAAAATAGAGTTGTTTATGATTGTTAAATTAAAGTTTAAAAAAAAATCCCCTCGTTTATTTGCTTAGTTCTAAAAAATAAATGAAATAATAAAAATAATTCACAATTTTTCTCTAAATTTGATGAAGAAAATAATAAGTAATTCTATATTGCAAAGATTTTATTAATAATATTTTTTATTTTTACCTGCTATTGAGAGAGTAAGAATGGCATGGTGTTCCTTCATTATAGGTAAAGGTAGAATAGGAAAAATTATGATTCCAAAAATCCATATTTGAGATAGAAAATTTAAGTTTGATATCATTTTTTTCTGAAAGTTAGAATAAAACCAGTTTGTATAGAAACTTTTATTTATTGTAAGTAAAGTTGTTGTAATAAAATAATTTTGTTTCAATCTTGGGTTCCTCTTACCTGAATATATATTTTTTTTAAAGTATAATAATCTAATTTATATTTTAATCAAAGAAAAAAAATATCTTTTAAAAAAGGTAAAATTTTAATTTTTTGAAATTAAAAAAAAAATTAATAAATGTTCTTATAAAAATATATCTGAAGCTTTTTTATACAAAGTAAAAATTTATATGGTTTTAAACATATTTCCGGAAATACGTAAACAGGAAATTAAATCTTCACTTATTTTATATATTAATAAATGAAATATTTATAAAGATTGTTTAAGATTTAGTTATTAATAAAATATGGTTAATTTTTTCCTTTGGTTGGTCTTTGTAAAATGGGTGACCAATAAATTTATTTAAATTACATTCCATATTTTATTTGAAAAAAAAGAAAGAAAAGAATATATTACTTAACATGTGTGTATTTTAGAATTATAAATGTAATTAATAGCCAATAAGATTTTATTGGATTTGAAAAATCTAATTTTTATCTATAAATTTATAATAATCAATAAAAGCAGAAACTCTTCTGATAATTCAGAGATAATATTCTTTTATAAAACCATCAAGGCCAGTTAGTTCATTTAAGACCATTTTTATAAGTATAGAGATGAGTCGGTATATCATAATAATTATATGCATATGAAAGAAACTACAATTATTAATTTTTTAAAATATAATTTAACATAGTTATTAACTAACGAGGGCCATATGCATGATACTTTAATTAAAAGTGCTTTCCTTAAACATAATTTCTTCGATTATACATAGATAAATTTGCTTTCTTTCTTATTTTATTTTGTTAAAATTATATAAATGCATGATATTTGGCACTAGGCCGGATATGGGAAATTAAGGTATTTTTGATGGGGGGAGGGTGCAAACATTGTTTAGTCTCAAATATTAATCAGACATATATTTTATTTACAATTATAAAGAAACTCTGAAAATTCATGCCTTTGCTTAATAATTGATATGTTAAATATCTCGTTATTCTTTAAAATTCGCACTGAAAAATCTTTTTAATGATTCCAAATATTTATTTTATTTTCCTATTTCCTTCTTTTTTTAATCCTTCCTTCCGTTCTTTTATAAATGCACTGAATTAGTATATTGAGAATTTTTTTTTAAGTTGCAATACAATACAAAGCTCGAATCTACTTTAAATTTTATTTTTGTTTCTCTAACTCACGTGTAATTTGAAGTGGTCTATTTATTTTTATATTTAAATACTCATAAATTTAAAAACAACTTATTTTTATTTAAAGGCAAGTTTTTTTAAATCAAATTATTCAAAAAAAATATTGTTCCTTTTTTAAAAGAAATCAATAATCTTATTTATAAAAATTTGTCTTTTGAGAACAATATTTTCTCCAAAAAAAGAAGAGAAATATTTTATAAACTTCATATTTCTCTTAAATCCAGAGATTTTTAAAAAAATATTTATCCTAGGGTGGTGGGGAGGGGCGACGTGGAGACCTAGCCTTTTTATTTCTAAAATACTAGCTAAGTTGTTTGAAGTTTTCTTTAAATACCGATGCCAATTTCAATCATGCATTAAATATAGGGCTTAAAAAATAATTTGAAAGTAGTCCAGCTAAAATTTATGTAATACATATAATTTTTTTTAAAGAATAATCATAAATGATAGTATATACAAAAAATTCGGCATTTTTTAAAAAAAATTTTTTAATATAAAAAATTGAATAAGAAAAAGAGTTTAAAATATAGGGCTTAGTTAATCCCCAGCCAAAAGCTCATCCTTTCCCGGGTAGGAATTCTATTACCCCGATATTTATCATTTATAAGTCCACCTTTAATATAAGTATAAGGTCAAAATGATTTGATAAAATAAGGTTTAATTTTATTAATGAACTTTTTGGTATCATCCAACGTATATCCCCTCTATTATAAATTATTTTTAAATTTATTTGTATTTTTTTTTTCAATTATATATTATAGGTAATTTTGGTAAGTTAATATCCTCTCGATTCGAACATATGATGATATTTTTCAAAAACATAGGGTCCTCTTTAATCTTATTATTATTGAAAAAAGAAACTATGATACTGGACCTGACTCAATCAGACCTCGGGAAATTTTTTATTTTGTTTTCCTAATGCTTTTTTTAAATAAAAATATTTAAAAAAAATTTAAAAAAGATTTTTCCCTATTGTGGCGCCTATAATTTTTCCTACTTCCTTGAAAAATTTTACCTTTTCCTCAGTTCAATATTTTTTAATTTATCTTAGGATTGAACTAATTTCTAAAATAAGAGTTTGAATCTTTTTAGAAAATAGTTGAAATCGGACTTAAATGAATAGGTTTAATGTGGGCTTTAAAAAAATAACATGTTATTCAAAAAATTTATTTTGATATTTAAAAAAGATTTGAAATTGATGAAGGAAAAGTGAGCCTTTTTATTCCAAAACTAATATAAAGTTTAAAAAAATTTCCATTTATATTTCAAGCGATAGATGATTGACGTGGGCACATAAAATATTTTTTTTTAAATAGCTTAAAATCAAAATCTCAAATTTAAGGCTATGGCTATGTGCTATTGAAATTGATGGACGCGAGTGCAATTGTTTTAATTATTATTATAATTTACTAAAATATCATAATTAAAATAATAGACACTTTGACGGCAAGTTTGTATAAAGATGTTATGACAGACAATTTCTTTAACTTTATCTATTTCTTTCATTTTTTTTATTCATATTCGTGATTACTTATCTCTCAAGGAAATCAATTTTATATTGAACGGCATTTAACATCTTTTACTAAATCCATTCCTAATTTTAGTTCATAAAAAATTATAATTTGAATTGTTAGTCATATAAAATGATTATAATCAAATTATTATTTAAAATATCGTATATATCATAGGCATAGCGAATGGGAAATGCGGAAACGTCTTCTACCGATCTCGTAAATGTTAAAATAAACGTAATACCCCCCCCCCCCTTCCAATATATACAATATGTCACTATAAACAATAGCTTTTCTAAAAAAAGATATAATGTGCGGGATAAACCAAACAAAAAGACATCCGGACAAAATGATACTCAAAATATACTCGAAATGATATTTTTAATTGTCGTTCCGGCAAAATTATCTTAGATATTAAAAAAATGCTATTTTTTTGCCAGGGCATTTATTTTACATATGATCCAAAGTTCTTAGATAGCATTACAAATTTATTTTAGCGGGTAAATAGCTACATTATTATATTTATTGTATATACTATTTTTATCTTTTAATCACTTTAAATTGGAACTAGATCTTAAAAATATCATCCCCATTAATAATAATAAAAAAAAATGTAGGTCAAAAATGGTCAAATTTAACCCATTACCTGAGTTTATTATAAAATTTAAACCGCGTTGATAAAAAGAATTAAATTTATATGCCCAGACTTCCTCTTACCTAAACAATTCCTAATTATATTTTTTTAAGTTTTTTTTTCCATATATTTTTTCTTAAGTTTACATTAAATGTAAATCCCAGATTTTTTTCCAAAAAATTGCTTCTAGATGGAAGAAAGATATTTTAAGAATTCAAATTATAAACCTGGTAAAATTTTAAAGCCAAAATAATATTAGTAAGCCTCGAGATTTCGGTATTGAATGTCTAAATTTTTCTGCTATCTATGAGCAAAATTTATAGCCTCGCGTTATATTTTCTGGATAAAATATTGTGTTAGCCGTTTTTAAAAATTGAGCCGTTTAACAACACTACTTCGGTAGAAGAAATTTTACACGATTCAGGAAGCACTTACGATATCTATTAAAAGAGGTCTAAAATATATTATGCAATTATTTATTTTAAAATTGTGGTTAAATGTCAAATATCTCATGTATTTGACATTTAAACTAAGAAAATAAAATATAGGAGGGGGTGGGAGTTTTATTATTTAAATGATTTTTAAAAAAATAATGAAAAATGCATTTTCAATAAAATATTTTGTCACGCTTCCGACAAAATTTAAAAGAAAAACAGTCTTTCATTTGCAAAAACAAATTAAATATCTATATAAACTTTTTAAAAATTGGTTTTTTTTATAGATATACTCATGATTAATGAGTTAGAATAAAGTTTGAGCTTAGCATTTGCACGTCTGATAATCATAATTGGATAAAAAAGATACACACCATTTTAAAAATATGTTGTTTAAATTGTCCAGTAAGTTTAGTTTGTTTTTGAAAAATAAATTGTGATATTTTTTAGAAGGCCCGGCCCGTACCCAGCCCAATAACGGCCTATTTTTTTTAAAAAAAAATCGGGTTCGGGCCGGTTTGGGTCTAATATTTTTAAATAAAATTTGGGCCGGGTTGGGTCGGGCCTTGGAATTTTTTAAAATATATTAAAATTTATCAATTTTATATCGAATAATATTTTATTTTATAGAACTAGACGCCTTACAACATATGTCTTTTATTTTGAGTAATTATAAAAATTAATTTCTAAATTTAAATAAGTTCGAGCAGGGCCGGCCGGTAAATTTTCTTAAAAAAAAATTTAGGGTTCGGGCCGGGGCAAAACTTTTTAGAAAAAGTTTCGGGTTCGGGCCGGCAAAACTTTTTTTAAAAAAAAATCGGGCCGGGGGCTTGAAAAATTAGACCCGATGCAGATCACTAGTATTTTTGTCCGGTATATTTTTTATATCGGGAGTATTTTTTGTCCCATGTCAAAGTATGTTTGTCTAAATCGTTTTATTTAGGATTGCCTGACTTTCCCCAGTTTATATGATAACGGTATATACATATGATTAAATATAATATATTATTTAAGTTGTTTGCCTATTCAAAAATTTTGTAGATGAGGATTGGTGGGAGTGGTTAGGTTACGTAATTGCATGCACCTTCTTACATTATCATGAGTCTTTTATTGATAAAAAATTTAAGGGCAAGGCAGCAAAATTTTATAACTAGCTAGGCATTTCGAAAAATTTCAAACATGATAGCCAAATTATGTGACGGTTATAGATGGGTGACTTGCATAACCAATTGG